AAAAAGCAAAATCCACAAGCACGCAAATAATTTTGTACACTTTATGACTGATGGAAGCAAATGGTCTGATTTGGAGCCCAAATGTCTGCTGGTGATTGCTGTTTAGCTGCAGATCCTGCAAGAGTAAGTGATGGCCCAGGATACTGTGGTCCCTGCAGTTTCAGCTGAGATGTGCCTCTGCTCTTCAGTGACTTCCCTGACCTATTCTGGTGGCTCAGAACCAACGTGCTGGCCACCATCTTAAGCTCAAAGTTCACAGCATGATTGACAAACCCCAGTCCTTAAAATAACCTGGACAAGGGCATTTTAGCTTCTTCTCTTGCATTCACTTGAAGCCAAAACCTTTCTTACCTTGTCAGAGGCAGGTGGCCCTTTTACTCCCCTTTCTCCTGGCTCCTCCCAACCCAGCACACTCCATGCTAATTAACAGCTGTTTAATTATCAGCCCAGCAGGGAAGCGATCATAGCCCAGTCCTTAGCCAGTTATTTCCCCACTTAAGCTGTCCCAGATTTCTGGAAGGCTGACTGTGCTAAATGCCTTAGGGAAAAGCAGTGTGGCTGAATGGAAAGTTCATGGCATTTAGAATCAATCGGTCAATCTGAGTGACTCTGCTGTCCTTTGACGCTGTTGGGCAATGGCTTCTGAACCTCCATCAGCTGTGACAATACTCCCCAGTTTTGTTGGGAAGGTGGAGGACAGGGCACATACCTTGTTGACTCTAAAATAGTAAGTAGACTATTTACTTTCCGTTCTGCCCTTGGACTGTCCTTAGATGGCACACCCTAGGCACTTGAGAAGCATCTGTTAACTGAGAAATTCTCAGTTGAGAACCAGAAGGAGAGGGGGTGAGTGGAGTTATTTGTGTCCCATATGTGCACACATGACAATGTAAGGTGTAAAGCTTGAATCAGAACTGTGGGATATCCACCAGTTCCCTTTCTTTTTAAGAAATGGTTTCAAACACGCCTGCTTTCCCATGCTTTTGCTTGGACATTTGGATATATGGTCAATGGCCCTCTTCAGGGAGGCATTCTAAACCTATGTTTCTAAATTAATTGTGCATTGTATTTTAGTAGAGGGGAAAACTGTGATTAAGTCATACAAATGTCACTGGGACTGTATTCAAAAGGTGATGATGGGCATTAAAGGAAATACGCTAAAATTCAAAGGATAGAGAAGGGACAGTGAGTCGGGTGGTCTTTTTAGTTATTGTGAGAGATATCATTTAGGCACTAGGAAAATATCACCCTGGCATTAAGGAATTTATCACACATAGAATTGTAACATTAAAATCTTCCCCAGAACTCTTTAAAAAAATGGCTTACAACCTCATCTCTCTTGTCATGTTTATTTCAGTTACAATATAAAACAACCTAAACAACCAATAGGAGGGAAATAGTTGGTACATGACTCTTCAGGGGTGTAGAAATTAAAATACCATAGCTATGTAGTCTCACTTTAAAAATTTTATAGTAAGACACTCAGGGAAGAAAGAATGCATTGTTTTATCTACAATGTGATTACTAATTATGTAAAAATTAAGTATAATTATGAATTAGAACTGAACAATAACCCAGAAATAAAATCATTAGGCTTGCATGGGAAAAAAAACATTTCTGGAGTTATGCACATTTATTTGCTAAGACATCCTGTCAAAGTACACCTATGATGCTTGTGGAGGATAGGAAGACAGAGATGTAGAGAGGCTGCTTCAGGCTGAAGATTCCTGAGTTTCAAAGAAGAGTGCTATCCAGGGACTGCGGCACCCCAAAGCATCACTGGTTTCCATTAAAACCTCATTTATGGAATTAAAATTAATTTTCTGAAAATGGATTAAGCAGTCTTTTCATTAGTGTACTCCTGGTGTAATTGAGTTTGGAGTGACTGGCGAAGTCATTCCTGCACTGAGGCTCTTAACCTCAAATCTGTGTGGGCCTTTTGTTCCTAACTGCTAGAAACAACATGTAGATGGGAGTCTTCAAACTTCCCCCTGGCAGTTGGTAGCTGCACTTGCTTCCCAAAGATCCTAGGGAGGAAAGTTACTATTTCACAGAAGTTATTCATGGCAATGAGTTCAACTCAAGAATCCTTCAATAGAAGTCAATAAAGGTGTCCCTGTGGTGAGCACTGGGGATAAAGGCCTCCCTGTGAGACCAAACTGGGGGAGTTAGTGAATTCAGACTTCTTCCTTCCTAACCTGAAGGGATTCTCAGCTTAGACTTGTTTTGTAGTAAAAGGTCTGGGAAAAAAGGCACGTAATGATAGTGACTGCCTCTCCAGACTGAGAACCACACGTGTGTTTGGAACTTTTAAATGTTCTTTGTATTGATGAATTCCAACACACACACACACACACACACACACACACACACACACACTCATGGAGGTTGGGGGGCCATGGGAACATAATGTCCTGAACCATTGACTCTATGCAATATAAGTGGTCAAAGACCCCAGCTGTGGTGTTCTGAAAGCTACAGACTTGTAGCAGTGAGGCCACACACTTCCCACAGCTCCTCCAGGCCAGAATTGGTGCACTGAGGCAGGCTCATTGCCCTGAAAGTCACAGGGTTCCAGCAATGCCCAGATTTGGGTCCTCAACAGCTTCCCGGTGCTTCCTTAGTCTACAGGGCAGTCAAGGATGCATTTAGTCAACTTTGTTCACCTACTCTTTTCTTGCTGCATGGTTTCTTATATTTTCTCTCTTAATAAAATCTATGCATCTTTCATCCTACTTGGAGAACCTATATCTTATGTGTATATGTATAGGAATGCAGACATGAATATTCATATACATACATATATCGATAGGTGTGTGTATAGGTGAGTTGTAATTCACCTTTTTTGGTAGACACAAGCTCTGTCAACACTTTTGCCATTAAAAAAATTACCAATCCACCCCACTTTTCCAAGTACTCTGCTACTAACTATACACCAGCATATGTCACCTTTTGGGGAAAGATCCAAGAACTCAGAGCAACATTGCCAAAGACTTCTTGCTTATGCCAAATGAGCCTAGCCTTCATGGGTGGGTATGGAGAACACTGAAGTGAGAACTAAGCTCCCCTATGGAAGGGGAAGGGTTAAGTGGAATCTGGACCTCTCCACTCTTCCCTTCCCAAAGTCACTCTGCCACTCTAGACTTGGTCCTACTGACACACTCTCACCCACACCAATGAGAATTTCTAACTGTGAATATGAGTAGATTCTGTATCACTTTCACAGAAGAGCTCTCAGGAAGGTGCCAGGGGCTCACAGTTCATGGGAGTTTAGAGGATCAGCTTTAGATGGCCTACAGTTCCTGCCTGCAGGAGACAGAGAGAGACAGCCAGAGAGAGAAGAGAAAGAAGGGGGGAGGAAGAGAGAAAGGGAGGGAGGGAGGGAGGGAGGGAGGGAGGGAAGGAGGAAGGGAGGGAAGGAGGAAGGGAGGGAAGGAGGGAGGAAGACAGACAGAGAGACAAAGAAGGGGGAGAGGAGGGAGTCAGTCCAGTAAGTGGACTCTGAGGGAAATGGGCCCTAAGTATTCTTGTCTTTGCCTCAGCTTTCCAAAAATCAACTGCTAAGAGAGAAGCCATCAAAAGAGGCATCCTAAGACTGAGGAAACCATCACTGCTATGACAATGGAAGTGCCCAGAATGTCACTGGTACTAAGGAGCTCAGGGGAAAGGAAGAAAGTGCCTAGGGAGAATTGGGTAGAAGTAAGCAGAGAGTTGGATCACAAAATCTAAGAGAAATAGTAACAAATATCCAGTACACACCCTTTTGTGCTGGTCCTTTATCCTTGAGTTTACAGGTGGTCAGAGTGGCCACAGCAATTGGATGATTAAAGTAGCAAATGCCTAAGTGAAAAGAAATTCCCTGATTAGAACCAAGTCTGGTCATGGCCTGGAGCCTGCTTGAACTAACAGCTCCCAAATTTCATTTCTATCCAAGAGCTTGGGATTCTGCCTGGCTGCCCAAAACTGAGCTATGAGAATAAGAAAAGCAGTACATCCTTTCAGCCTCTTTCCCAGGGCCTCTCCCTTGCCTCCTGGAGCCTTGCAATGGGGCTTGCCTGCTTCTCCATAGGTGGCTTTGTGTCTGCTGGGATTGTGTTTAGCTGATTCTCAAATTTGAAGGCTGAAATCCTTCAGCAACAGGAGCTGTTCAGGTTTCACCTTGAACTGTCCCTCAACCCCCATTCTTTTCCTAACAGAAATGTTCTGTTGTCTTCTTGTATTTCACTTAATGATCCCTGACACCTCACCTTCCTCAAGAATACTTTCTCTATCCAATCCTTATTTTCAGGGACTTTGCTTTGAGCTGTTGTTAACCACTGATAGAGGCAGGCCCCTGCAGGGGCAAATGCCTGTATTAAGGTACCTTCAAAGTGTCTTTTCCCTTACTTTCAGATAAAGCTTTATGTCACCAGCTGAGCATGCCCAGAGGCATCCTGTCTTTGAGTTTGATCTTTTCAACATGTGTTTTAGGACTGTGCACTAAGCATGTGTGTCTACCATCTCTCCTTCCTAAATTATTAACTTAAGCTGAGCATGCTCAGGAATGATTCCTTAACTGAGTGTGCTCAAGAATTGGGCCCACCCCTGTATGAAAATGCACAGGCCACCTAAGTAAAACCCCAGTTTCCTTGGTACTGGTGGGGAGGTGGTTATTGCTTTGTAAACAACTCCTATGCTTTCCTTGCCTATGGCTAACAATGAATCTCTCCCAACTCTTTATGTGATGGCTCTGCCTATTTTGGCTTTTCACTCACCAATCTGGGAACTGACTCCATTCAGCAATACTTTCACCAATGTTTGGTTGTTCTGTATAGCCACAAGTAAGTACTCTTAGACAATAATGAGGTCCTACATGGAATAATCTTACTTTTGCTGAAGAAAACAACATGTGCTCGAACACAAACATTGTTTACAAATAAGATCTAAATTCGTGGCAACAAATTCCAGAAGAAGGGTATCAAGGTTTGTACTTGGGTAATCTATTGGTATTGTCGTTCCAGGTAAAGATGGCCCTGCAACAAGAAGGATTTGACCGTAAAAAGAGGGGGTACAGGGACATCAATGAGATTGACATCAACATGAATGATCCTCTTTTTACAAAGCAATGGTACCTGGTAAGTTTCTCTACTGTTTATAATGGCCCTCACTTGGGAAGATGAACTATTTCTTTGTTATTTCACGACATGATAGCCATCATCCAGGTCAATGAATGCTTCTATGTCCTCCAGTAGGCTTGATTTTCTATTACCTCCCATGCATCTTACTTCCTAGGCTTTTACCAACAGCTGATCATGATCACATTGTCCTAGATTCCAAAGAGGTATACCTGTATGAGAGTGAAGATGGGAAAACTTCCTGAAAGTCAAATCAAATATTTAGGAGAAGTAATCCAGTAGTGTCAACACACATTGAAAGGTGGGAGGGATATATTGGAGTCATAGCCACAAGTGTAAGAATCCAGGGTTTTCATGAGCAAGAGAACTGAGAGATTATCAAAGGTGACCTTTCAGCATGGTCTAAAACAATATTAATGAATCAGGATTCACAGCACTGAAACCTAGGCTATCTTATGGCAAGTACTTTCTGTAGATACGGTCAGTCCATCACAACCCTGTAGATACAGCCCATCATATCAACCCCTGTGGGTTGATTGAGCTATGTTTAGGAGAAGATTAACTGGGGCAAGAGGAATGGCTCAGGGATTAAGAGCATGTTCTCATCTTCCAGATGGCCCAAATTCAGTTCCCAACACCTATGTCAAGCAGCCCACAACTGTCTGGAACTTCAGCTTCAATGGATCCCACACCACTACTGGCCTCAGGCACCCACACTCACCTTCATAAACCCACACATATACACATAATTAAAGGTAATAAAAAGAAATCATTTTTAAAGGAGATCAGTGACTCCAAAGCAACCTACGTTGCAGAGCACATTATAAATGACTGATTCATAAATGTGAGCGATATCTTAATTTATGTAGGATTAAAAGATGATGAGCAAAGTAGAAAATTAAATGGCATAGACTGCTACACCATAGGGATGCGTCCCAGTTTCTCTCCTGAGGCTTCAATGTTTAGTTATGCCTTATGCTTTTGGACATAGAAATTCTGAAGGTTTTGGTAGTTGAATGAGCTTATGCGTGTTAATCAGGATGGGGTAGGTTTGTTTCAACAACAAATAACCCCCAAATCACAGTTGTTTCTTAAAGCCAGTGCCTGTTTTGTTTTTTGTTTGTGTTTGTTTGTTTTCTGAGCTCCACCCTAAATGCCTCCACAGCACCTCAGCAAGGAAAAGGAACAAACCATACAAAGCTCTTGAAACTTCTGCCTAGATGTGACAAACAGCACATGAGCTCACATTGTTCTGGCTGAAACCAGTTACATGACCATTCTAAATGAGAAGTGGGGAAGAGGAAGAAAAGAGGGGTGTAATCTTTAAAGTGTGCCTGGAAGGAAAAGAATAGTCACTTTTGTGAAGCATATCCATGACACAAATGACATTACAATAATGTCTTGGTAATAGAGACCGCAACAGCCTCTGGTCAAGGTGGGCCTTTGTCAGCACACACTCCACCTTCACTATTTCTTCATAAGCCGTCGTTGAGAAAATCTGTACAGACCATATATGCATGGAAAGAGGCTAGTGAATATATTAATGAATCAGTCCTTCACCTTCCTTTAAAAAAAACCGGAGGGAATGGAATGATAGCTCAGTCAATAAAATGCTGGTCGTATAAACATGAGGATCAGAAACCATGTGAAAAACACTTGTAAAGGTACTTATAAATAGCAGCATGCATTTGTAATTCCAGAACTAAGGTATCAGAGATAGGAAGACTATTGGGCTCATTGACTAGCTATCCCAGCCTACTTGGCAAGCCCTCAACTGTTTCAAAAACCAAAATGGTCATTAGGGAACAATGCCCAAAGATGACCGTTAACCTCCACACGCGTGCACACACACACACACACACACACACAATTGTGCTGTGCACACACATGCATCCACATGAACACTCTCAGGAATACACCCCAAAACCAAGGAGGACTTTATCTTTCTGTATTAAAACATACACCAGAGAATAGTCACCTATCCTGAGTTGAGTTCAACAAGTATTTTAGAAAAAGATTTGGTGTGGTGGTACTAAAGTCCCCAAGGTAAAAAGTTTCCTACAGAAAGAAAGGTTATTGTCATTTAGTGAAAAAAAAAAACTATATTAGTAAAAACCCAAGATATTATCAAAATATCAAGACTATCAAGATCAAAAGATGAGCTACACCAAGCTTTGACAGTAAATGTTTCACTCCCTATTTGAAGGATTTGCTGTGATGGCCTCTCCAAGACCATAATATAAGATGATTTCAATTTTCTGTGTGGTGCCATGAATTAAACCTAGGGCTTTGTGTGTGCTAGGCAATGACTTTACCACTGAGCTATATCCCTATTCCTAGTCCTGTAAAACGACTTTAAAGATGGCAATGTAGTTTTGAGACAAGGGCATTAGAGCAGTTTCACCCTTCACATAAAAACAGAAAAATCAGTTGTTTATGAAACAAATAGAAAATGAAGCCTCTAAGGGGTAAAGTAGGCCACCCTGAAGCATGTTTCATGAAGGGTGTGGCCTTATGCTGGCCAGGCAGAGCATGTCTGGCAACCAAGTGCCAGCATATGTCACAGCACCAAACCAATCCGATTCTCTGCTTTGAATTCCTCTATCAGTTCAACACTGGGCAAGCTGATGGCACTCCTGGGCTAGACTTGAACGTGGCCGAAGCCTGGGAGCTGGGATACACGGGGAAAGGAGTGACCATTGGAATTATGGATGATGGTGAGTATCTCACAGCCAGCCCTCTATTCATTTGCAAGACAGTGCCTTTCATGCCTCCAGACATGAAAGATTTGTGTTTGATGGAGACTAGCCAAACAATTAGCAACTTTGATGCTGGACCTGATGGCCATATCACACCTTGACAAAATCCTCTCCTTCATCTAGATCGGCAAGCATGATACTTCTGATGTTCTCAACAAGTATTGTTTGAAGTGATAAATAAGAAACTAAAGAAACCCCTAAAGTCTAAAACCCCTAAAGACTAAAGTCTGTCCTTGACTTGCTTTCTTGTTAACTTGATCATTACAACTTACCTGAAATGTCTTTTAAAAACCTTGTATGTTTGCCTCTTCTGTTCCTCTAGATCCACACTGCAGTGTTATAGCCACTGACCACGCTTGGCCACTCAGAGTTAATAATTAAAGCTAACATCAACTTAAAATTCAATTCTTCACAACAGCTCCATTTCACATTTTAGTGTTTTGGTTTTCCACACTATAGGGATTTAAACCCAGGACCTTGAACCTATGCTGGGCAGTTGCACTGCCCCCTCCACTATATTCTCAGCTTCCTTGCTTTAGGTAGCCATATAGGCTATTTCAACTGCTAAAATTTAAAAAAAAAAAAGAATTCATTTCAGTAATCACAAAAAGTTCTATCTGAGTGTGTGACTATGAGTCCCTGACAAGATTGGGGTCTAGAAAATTTGGCTTTAAGACTACTTTCAAAATGAGCCCCTGATAATGTTCTGTCATTGACAGCTCCATATGTTACCCTGCTATGCAGGCTAGAGATTTAAAAGTTTTGTGAATTAGTGTTTTTCTAACTGTGTATGGCCTTGCCTCTGGTGAGCTCCTGCAGTATCACTACCCCACAGTCATTTTGCTGGGATGTCCCTCCCGCCTTGGTCAGCTCACTGGGTCCACTAAAAGTCCCACTGTGCATTACATTATCGGTTTAATTACCTAAAAGCCTACATAGCAATGAAACAATGGAGCCTCTCCCTTCAGAACATCCTCAAAGAACACTGTTGACTAAAAGCAAGCCTTTGAAGCAGAATCGATGGAGAAAACAAGGGAAGCCGACCTGCTCCAAATCTGTTCTGTCTTTGTGGGAGCTCATTAAACAACAATGTGAAACAATGGCTCTGTAAGCCTCTGATGTGGGAGATGTTTTGAAGTGGATGTAAAAAAAAGCCTTCCCTGGTGCTGAGAGCTTTCCCTGGAAGAAAGGAACTGTGTGGAGAGGTGTCAAAGCTTATGCACATTTTTTTCTTTCTCAACACTCTGGTTTAGACCCCTTTCTGGAGCAACTAGATCACTCAGAAAAAAAAAAGGCATCTAAATCTGGAAGAAACCACCTAGGATGTACTGTGAGGACCAGTTAACATCCCATTGGGTGTCCTATGCTGTAAATAAAGAGGCCACCTTAAATGTGACACAACAGTGACAACAGACACATTGCCCCATCAACTTTGCAACAGCACTATAGATGCCTGTTTCAGTTTCTGTCCATAGCCTCCTTGAATGACACACAAGCCATCCCTTCCAAAGGTAGCAGATGAGAGTATGTCTCACTCTGCCTCAGACCAAGAGGCAAAACCCTTTAGAAAAGTCCCAGAAGGATTTCCTGTTTGATCTTAGTTCTGTAGATGAGATGAACTCATTATCTCTCAATTAAAATTCCTGATTGCTCTATTATTTTGGTCACATCTACTATAGAAGAAACCACCTAGATAACTTTTGTAAAGCTACTATGTCTTATAGCTCTGTGAGATGATAGGCTCTGCTGGGCTGTTTTGTTGCTATCTCTAAAGAAATAAAAGAATATGTGTTGCCACAGAGAAGGTGGCTTGGTCAGTAAAGCACCAGGACCTGAGTTGCAATCCCTTGCACCCAAGTGAGGCAATGCACATCTGTTATCACGGCACTAGAGATCAAGGTCAGGCAGCAGAGACTGGCAGATCCCTAGAGCTTACCAGTAAGTCAGTCTACCTGACTTAGTGAGCTTGGGGTTCAGTGAGAGACCCCGCCTCAAAGAATAAGGTGGAGAGCTACTGAGGAAGACATCTGACATCCACCTCTGGCCTCTACATGCATAAGTACACACATGTATACACATCTGCAACACACAAAGAACAGGGGTACTGTATATTCTACTTTAAGGGATAATCAAATATACAGAAATATTAAAATACTATCTACTAGGTTATCATTTTCACTTAAATCATTCTTTTATTGGTAGAAAAATGTCTTTCATCCTTCACAATTCTATCATTAGTATTTGATGGGGGATGGACAGGCAGGTAGTATAAGCGGGGCTACCAGACTAGGAGAAGGCTAGGAAGAGGAATGTAGAGAGTCATCGGAGACACGCCGTGTAGCTGCCAAGGAAGCCAGACCATGTGGAAATACATAGATTATTATATATGGGTTAATAATTAAGAGAGAACCAGACCATAAGAAGCATGAGCCATAGGGAAAACAGTTTATAATTAACATAAACCTCTCTGTGTTCATTTGGGACTAAATGGCTGCAGGACTGGGAGGGACAGAAACTTCTGTCTACAAGTATTTTCTTTCTCAAGCCCAAGTCTGCAACCACCCTGACAGCATTCTTTCTCTTAACCTACTTAAAGATTCTTTATTATAATGATAGTAAATATATCGTATTGAAATCTAATTCCCTCCTCGTCTTATATTATCTCCTAGCCCTTGTAAGTCCCTTCACAGAGAAGAGATTACCAACTCTTAAAGTCCACTCTCAGAACATGGAATTGTGTTTTTAAAACTGACTTCCGATTTTAAAGGCATGCTCTTTTTGTGTGGTGGGTGATGGCAGTGTTTAGCTTAACATTTGTTACAAAATTTTTTGCCTAACAATGCTAAATAATTTCAACAAATATATGTAATTTCATCTCAAAAATGTTAACATCAAGCCAATTTCTAAATTTTTTTTTGTTTTCCTGCTAAAAGTATCCCAATGATGTGATAGATTATTGTATTAGCTACTTCTCTGTTGTTACATCAAATACCCTGACAAAAAGTAAGATAGGAAAGAAAATGTTTACTATGACTTACAGTCTCAGAGGGAAAACAGTGTATCATGGCAGGGAAGGCATGACAGCAAAAGGGAGAGACCCACAGAGGGTAGTCAGGAAGGTGACATTTTATCCCATACAGGAAGTGGAGAGAGAGACACATTGATGACATTTTATGTAAATTCTCAGGACACAGGCAGAATGCAGGCAGATTCTTTGAGGCCTCTAACCCAGTTTCTAATAAAATCCATGTTCCCTCGAACACTTCATGAGCTGGGTCTCTACTGTCCATTGCACTCTTGGGAATGGCCCATTAAGTTCTGTCCACAGCACTTAACTTTTCTAGCCTGAAGTTCCAAAGTCTTCTACTATGCTTCAAAAACAAACAAACAAAAAAAATCAGATCTATCACAGCAACAACCCCACTTCGCTGAAACCAATTTTTGTATTAGTTGTTTTCTATTGCTGTAATAAAATGCTCTCACAAAAAAAGCAAGTTGAAAAAGGGGGTGGGAGATTGTTCTGGCTTACAGTTAGGGAAGAAAACATGGCAAAGGCATGGTAAGAGAAGCATGAGGCCAGCCCGGCAGTCAGGAAACAGGCTGAACACATCTCACCTCACACAGGAAGCAGAGAGAAAGAACAGGAAGTGGGCCAAGATGGAAAAACCTCAAAGCCCATTTTCAGTGACATACTTCCTCCAGTGACACTCTACCTCCTAAAGGTTCCATAACCTTCCCAAGCAGGGCCATCAGCCAGCAGTAAGGCTGTGCCACTAATATTGGAGCTGTGCTAGCCAGCCTAAGGCTTTGTGGGGAGGAAAGAAAAACCTTTTAAATTAGGATGCATATATTCCTAAAGGAAAATTTTATTTTTTCCATATCATGCTAATAATTTCTGGGCTGAGAGTCACTGGACAAAGACATGAGAGTAGAGTTAGTCGCTTGTCACTCACAGGCATGATGCCTTCTCTCTATACTTTCCTGAAAAAAATCTGTAGAAGAAAAGTGACCTTCAGTGTTGGGGTGAATGCATGCATTGAGACCAACAGATCCAGTTCTATTCAAAGGTCAGATGCTGTAACCCTGATGTGGATTTTGTCAAATAACATAGTATCTCTGAGCTTTGACTTTGTGATCTTTGAAATGGGGCTAAGAGACTTTTTAAAGAATAGAAACAATTCATGGAAGTATTTGGCTTATAGTAAACATGCTAATGGATTCCTATTATCATCATTAGAAATCGTGTTGTTGTAGTTTGAATATGAAATGTCCCCTCTGGGCCCATGTTTGAATATTTGGTTCCTGGCTGATGGCCCTGCAGCAGAAGGTGCTTAACGGTACTTGTAAGTCTAGCATCCCAGGATAGTAATTAAATGCACCTGCTGCTAGGCTAAAGATATCATATGCCTGGGCTTGTTTGAGTCCTGCCCTTGCCTCACCTCCAATTGTTCAAGATGGAAATAATCACAGAGAGGCCAAACAGCATCCATGAAGTCATACTGCTGGTTATCATGATGGTTAAGAGTCAAACTCTATTCTTTGACTCCAAACACCTCCATTCATAACCATGGCCATGTGTATTGCAGGGCCCCGCTCTGTTGCTGTTTCCTCACTGGCCATATGCCCAGGTACAGCATATGCAGAGACTATTGTCCCGCAGACCTGGAAGAGAGCTTTTCAGTTGCCCCTGGGTTTTTACAGTGAGTTCTGAGGTCAAAGTGTCCGATGGAACACAACAGCATCATTAGGCCATAATTCTACCCTAGGAATGACTCTTGGGCCCAGAACAGGCTCCCAGCTCAATAGCAAACACAGAACTCTAGCTGAGGGAATTGGAGCCTGTGGCTTTCCAGAAAGGCACGTTCTGGAGAGAATAGCATCAGCTCCCAGCTGGCAACACCTCACTAGAAACCACAAGCTTTCTCCTAATGGCTTTTCTTGCCCGGCCGTGCACCTCTTATTTCCATGCTGGAGTGTGCTCTCCTAATCCACGGTTCTCCGTGCCCTGTTAAATAATCATCACTTTTCCTCCCTGGGGCCAGCTTCATTTCAGAGGAGAAGCTAGTTGATGCTTTAGAAATGTCAGGATTTCTACAAATCTCTTTTACATCGCTGCTGTGATGAGCCATCCATCTCACAGTCACTAAGCCCCTGACTGCTGACATTTATCCGGAAGCGTTATCCGTGGGCCCAGAGCTCTAATTGGTTTCACTGCTCTGCAGTGTGTTTAGGGGCCTCTGTCTCTCCACCAAGAAAGTGATACAGTCCTCCCCCACACAGAAAGGGAAGGCAAAGCAGGGAGTTTGGGATAAGCATCCTCTCCCCCACCCCCGACTCCCCCAAGTCTCCTGTGCCATCATCCCTGCAAGAAGCATCCATTCCTGGGCTCCTCTCTTGGGAACACAGCGGTAGGTATTAACTAACCTTCCACTTCTGTGTTATCTTTTCACAGGAATCGACTATCTCCATCCAGACCTGGCCAACAACTATGTAAGTACAAGCTGATTTTAAGGTGTGGGGAGGGTGTGCTTTTAAGCAACCTGCTGCGTCTGGTTTTCAGAAACACACTCAAGTATATGCAGCATGCATGCATGCAGAGAATCAATACCCACCCACAGGAGCACATGCATGCCCAATGCAGGAACAGACACACACACACACACACACACACACACACACACACACACTCAAAACTCAAATATTCATGGGTACACAGAATCACACCCACATTCTCCAATGCGCACACTTGTGTGCTTGCACACACTGAACCAACCCATCTTGTTGGAGCTGTTGCTCAGATACCGGATCTGGCTAAATGTCAAATGGGTGGCTTTTTGAGAAGAAAGAACAACAAGCTGGAATTTGGAGCAACAGACTGCCAAGGAAGTAAATAAAGGGAGAGGCAGAGAGGAGAGCAGCGTGGCAAGGCTTGAATCAATGCCAGTTGCCATCCTCAAGTGAAAGGGATAATCAAATTACCTGGGTGCTCAATGGCCAAAACTAAAGACTAAGAGCCAGAAATTGAAGTACCTCACATTGCAACCATCACTCTGTGAGAGGAAGAATGAATAGTATCTTTTTTGACAAGCTTTGCTGTTCTAAACATTTCACTGAGCCTGGCCTTTAAGACCCCTCTACAAGCAAGTACCATCAACACAGACTCCCAAGACAACAATGGGTTAGAGCATCACACTTACTTTTAAAAAGCACCCAGCAAGTCATATGCTGTTTTCCCAATAAACCTACAAGCTCTTTAAATGTAACCAATGTCTTCATTCCAACCTCAGGAGCATTGGCATGTTCATTTAAAGTTACCTCAGCAGAGTTACACTTTCCCCAAAAGCTCGAGATCTAAGTTTAAAAGACATAATCTTTCTAACTGGAGACTCCCACTTAAAACAAGGGCTTAAGTAAAAGAAACAGTTAATAAGCAAAGCTATTCACCAGTCACCTTTCTGGGTCCTTTGCTCTAGATGTGTCTATCCATAGTACATAAAAGTCAAGAGAGCTCCCCTGTGTTTTGTGTCCTGAGTATAAGGAAATGAGACAATAAAGTTTTTGTTATTGTCTGCACAGATCTTAGTAATCTAGAAACATAAAGACAGAGCTAAGAATCTTCTCTAATACACATATGTGTGTATAAGTATATATGTATATATAAGTATTAGAGAAGGGTGTGTGTGTGTGTGTGTGTGTGTGTGTGTGAATCATGCGTCATCCAGTCACTGTGGCCTTCAAGGGAAATGACAGAAAGTTAAACCAAAGCTTTATTGAGGTGATAATAACCCATTACTATGGAGAAGAAAACCAAGGGCTGCCTGTGAGTGGCAGTCTGCAGCAGCGATCCTGTGGGTTGTGTCTAAGGATCCTTTCCCTAGCCCTGTCCCTGTGGCCACCTCCTACTGGCCAGTTCACGTCTGGCTGTTCATTTACTCTTGAAATGGTCTGAACTCCTGACAGCTCCTCCATACATCCTTTTTCTGTGTCCTTCATAAATACAGAGCCCTGAGAGGTCGCTGAAAAGAACAAAATGTTTCGTTTTCTGCAGTTCTCTGGTATCCCAGGATCTTCCCTCTTGGAAGCATGTTTCCCTCAGGGATGCTATCCTGCAGCCTAGGAGAACTGCCTACACTCACAGAGGCACTGGTATTTCCCATAATTTCCTTCAGCTCTAGGAATCAGGACATCAGAAGTAGCCACTTGCAGCTCTTCTCCATTTCCTGCACTATCACTGCCTTGTCTCTTGGAGGACCTCAAGATGGAGTGGCTGGCTGTTGACTGAAAAGCTAAAGGCACCTAGCCTGCCTGCTGTGTACAGGTTCAAGTTCCACAAAAGCCTAGAACTCCATTAATAACTTTCACAGCTGTCTCATTGCCCGCCCCTCCCCCCCCATGCCAGTGGCACATTAAAAGGTGATTCTAATCCCATGGAGAAAACCCATTAAGCTGCAGGGACAATACTAGAGGGCAGTGCTGTCCATCTGCCTAAACCCTCATCTGAATCTGGGGAGTGCGGGCTGGGTTTAGACTGGCAATATAGAAGCACAGGGAGACCCTGTGGCTCCCGTTTTCTTTGGGCTGGGTTTAGACTGGCAATATAGAAGCACAGGGAGACCCTGTGGCTCGTGAGCTCTTGCCTGTCTTCATTCCTTTTCCAAAGACGTAGATAAATGCATGTCCTCTGTAGAAAACTGGAGAGGCATGAAACAGATTCCGATCCAGCCATAATGCTACCAACCTTAATATCTGGGGCTTTTAGTTCTGTGTGTATCTTTTTCACAAAACTGAATCCTGACTGCATTTGTATTCCCATTTATTCACATGTTATGAACATTTTTAAGTATCTTCATTATTTTGAGGGCTGTGTGGCATTGCCTCACACTATAAGTACCACAATTCCCTATTGTTGGACAACTGGGTGTGTCTTTCCAGTGGATCCGTCAACCTAAGAGGGAGCGTGACAAACAGTGGCATGCTGCATAGTGGGGCTGCATAAAACTGAAAGAATTCTGGGGAAAAAGAAGAAAATGTAAGAGGCATATCGACTATGTTTCCAATTGTTTTAAAGTACACTATGGAATGAGACATTCTACATCTCCCATAGCTTCTCCCAAGCTTATTGCCACCAATATGTTTATTTTCAAGGGTGAACTGTCCTTTGATTGAAGCTAGTAAGTACAAAGGAATGCTGAGTTCTCCATATTTGAGAGTATGGATAAGGGTTATGGCCATTGGGAGAGGATACTGAAGAGATGGTGTGTGCATTAACCTTAATCTAGATGATATGTAACAGTGAGTAGAAAATGTGACTTCTGTTTAGATTCACATATTGGCTATGCCAAAGACTCAGGGAGTGCACACTCCACTTGGTTATGAAGCTTCTTGCATCTTTGGTATGGTGAGAAAGTTAAGCACCTAACTGTGTCACTCTTAATTCCTCAGCAGGAACTAAAAAAAAGACCTCTCTCCTCTCTCTCTCTCCTTTATGTCTCCTCTCTCTCTCTCCTCTCTGTCTCCTCTCTCTCCTCTCTGTCTCCTCTCTCTCCTCTCTCTCTCTCTCCTCTCACTCTCCTCTCTCTCTCCTCTCTTCTCTCTCCCCTCTCTCTTCTTTCTCTCTCAACAAACGATTTCTCTGTGTAGTCCTGGCTATCCTGGAACTCACTCTGTAAACCAGAATGGCCTTGAACTCAGAGATCCACCAGCCTCTGCCTCCAGAGTGCTGGGATTAAAGGCATGCGCCACTACCACCAGGCTAAGACCAGTTCTCTTAAATCACAGTGTCTCTCTCAATCTATATAGAGTTTCGACAGAAACTAACAATAAAATTTGCCTTGCTTTTGACTAAAATTTTTGCATGATCTTTAAGTGGAAGTGGACCCAACCTGCTGAGGAGAGAAATGAAGACAGCAGACAGTGACAGGCTCAAACTCTGTGTGAGAGAAGAATTTACAGGGCCGCATATCCACATCACTAACTGATTCGATGAGCTTAGATGTGATGAGCTCACCCAGTGCCCTTCTAGGAGAAGGTGCTTTGGGGAGGTATTTCTTTGGATTTTCCCCAAAACAGACCCCTATGACAAGAGTTTCTGCAAAAATTCCTTTCTTTCTACATGATGCCAGAAAGCAGAGACGAAGAGAAGGCAGCCTTGATGGGCACATTATCAAACAAGTGACCACTGGAACTTAATCCCATGAGGAGAATCTGAGAGATGATGTGGAGTAAATGAGATGGAGTCCCAGGGGCATCTCACCTAGCGTGGGACCCCTGGGAACTCTGGGCATTCAACCCAACTCCAGCAGTTGGTTTGGAGCTAGTCCCAGGGGATAAATAGGCTGCCTCCCCAGGCTGGAAGACAGCCTTCATCTGTGTATAGACAGTACCTCACCAGGGACATGTGGGTGTCAGGCCTAAGATATTCATGACAGCACTGCTTCCAGTGTGTACCTCTTAAAGGTTAAACAGAAGTGTTCTGTATTGGGGGGAACAAACTCCTCCTCTTTACTAATTTATTTTCAATAAGAAGTGAGAATTCTACCTGAAGCTATTTAGCAAAATTCCTTCATATTCAAACCAGGCAAAATGTTTCCAAAAGCAAAGTTCTTTCCATCGCTTGGTTATTCTGACTAGTAAGAAAAGAGAGAAAAGAAACCTGGTAGTTCACGGTTCTTTCCACTACACTAAGAATTAAAATACTTTGAAAACTGCAAATCAATATATAAATGTAAGTCTTTAGCCTTAATTTAATTCAACAAATCTACACCGAGTCTGTTGAGTGGAGAGTAAAGGATAATAACAGCCACTTCTGTGATTATCCTATTGTTCAAAGGTTGAATTGAATCTCAGGGTCTGGTACCATTTGTAAGTGCTCACTATTCCAAATAATTAAAATTCTTTTTTTTTCCCATCCCAATTGCAATAACCATGAAATGAGTACTGGCCAAGAGACTTCTTTGAACCAAGTCAGAGCCTCATTTCCCTGTCTTCCCTATGCCACTGAACAGTTCCTCTAGCGCAGGATGCAGAGAGGGATGTCAGGAAGGTGCAAGCACCCCACCAAGGAAGGAAGCAGGCAGGGAGTGTCACACAGCACAGCTTAGGAGCAAGCAGACGGGGAAGTGACTCTGTTCTGTGGCTCTTAGCCCACGATAATTCCAGGCTTTAGCTGCAGCACTGGTCCAAGACTGAAGCTGTGCTAAGTCTAGGGCTGAAGGAGTACTTCTTTAGGGGTGTGTGGTGTGTGAAAGAGGTGGCAGTTTTCGGAGCTTGAAAGCAGGTAGGGCAGAATCTCATCTTTACTTTATAGGCCTGCTTTGCTGAAACCAGGAATCACACATGGCTGATGGGCCTGTAAAATTCAAAGAGGCTACTTCAACTGTGTTGGAGTTTTCTCAGAGACATAAGTTGAGAAAAGGTTTGAAGCTATCTGTGAATTGTAACTAAGTATGCACAGATTTTTTCCCCATTATTCCCTAGACAACAAATTGTTA